TATATATACACATATACATAAACATACACACACACATATAACCAAAAGCCATTCCCATGCAGTCAGTAGTCAAAGAATAGGAACAAACAGTTCTCAAAAAAAAAAATTACAAACTATTAAGACTCCAAATAACTAATAATAAGAGAAATTAAAATCAAAACAACACTGAGATTTTCAGCTCATACCCATCAAACAGGCAAAGATGACAAAAAATGGGAATAAATAATGTTGGAGAGATTTCCGGAAGACAGACACACTAATGTTGGTAGAGCTGTGAACTAGGACAACTATTTTGGAAAGCAATATAGAATTACACACATCAAGCAACTGTCCATACCCTCTGATTCAGAGATTCCACTACTAGGTATATGATTCAGGGAGAACTCAGATAAGAACAAAATCCCCCTATATTCCAAAATATTGTTAACAGCACTTTTTGTGATAGCAAAGAGCTGGTAAAAAAAATAGATGCCCATTAACTAGGGAATGGCTAAAAAAATTATATCAAATGAATGTTATGGAATATTACTTTTCTCTAAGCAATAATGAATATGACGAATACAGAGAAACACGGAAAGACTTACATAAACTAATGAAGAGTGAAGTACCTATTATTATTTTAGTTCATGCACATATTTTTGCCTTTTTATGTAATGTCCAACTCTTAACTCCCTATTCTCTCCTTTATTTTTAGTAATGCACTTAGGCACATTTAAAGTTGGGGAGTGAAGGGATATGGCTGGAATAACACAGGTTGGAATATACAGTACCTTTGTATAGAGAATCAAACACATTTTTCACAGCAACTCTATGAGGTAGGAAACCCAAGTATTAGTATCCTTATTTTACATATGTTTTAGAAAACTGAGGCTCAAAAACTTAGGGCCTATTACCTTGTTCACTGGCATAATAAGGTATCAAGTTTCAGTGCCAGATTTGAAGTGTTAATAGTAAATAAGATTTTATTTGGAAAACAGATGAACAACGGGTCATTAAAAGATTTCTGATTAGTGGAATGATAAGACGAAAGTATCTTAGAACAATATCACTGTGGTTTGTAGAATAATAGGTTGAAGAGGCAAGAGTCCAAACTCAAATCATTCCCTTGACCAAAACTTCTTCGATGATTCCACTGTTTGATAAAAGTTCAAATTCCTTGGTCTTACATCAAGACTCCTTAGACTGGATGTAACTGCAATCTTTCTAGAATTATCTTCCCCTATTCCCCTAAAGAAGCCTTCTGTTAGTTTACTGACTGTCCCTAAAACTGCCTTTCCTGCCTATGTTTGTTTTTTTTTTTACCTTTTTGATATAAACTTAACAAACACATATAGTGAAAAAGTCAGTGAGAGGAAAGAAGTAGAATAATCCCTATTGTCAAGGAATTTATATTCTTCAAGCTGTGAGGTGGCACAGAAAGGAAGAATGCCCCTTTATAGTGAAGAAGACCTGAGTTCAAATGCTGTCTCAGATACTTACTGACAGTGTGCCCCTAGGTAAGTCACTTAGCCTCTTGTCTGCCTCAGTTCCTCATCTGTAAAATGGGGCTAATAGAAGCACCTACCTCACAGGGTTGTTGGGAAGATCAAATGAGATAACGTGCATACAGCATTTTGCAAACCTTAAAGTGCTGCATAAGCACCAGCTATTCCTATTGTTATCATTATTATTATTCTAACTGAAGAGACAACATGCATAAAAATAATATACAAAATAAGTACTAAACAAATATATAGTAGTTAGGGAGGGAAGATACTAGTGATTGGGAGAATCAAGAAAGGCTTCATGTAGAAGGTGGTTAACGCTTGAGTTGTCTTAAAGGAAGACAGGGATTCTCTAAGGCGAGAGAAGAGGGTACATTCCAGGCATGGAATGTAACAAGTATAAAGACACTTAAGAAATGTAACAGAGTACCATTTGTGATGGCCAAAGTACCACAGGTGAAGGCAAGGTGGGCTGAACTTCAGAGTGCTAGAAGTGGAGTATGGCAAATTGAGGCTGGAAAGATAAGTTGCAGTCAGGTTGCAAAGGGTTTTAAAAGCAAACCAGAAGGCAACAGGGCTAAAATGGCATTTACTAAGTAGGGGGAGTGATATGGTTCAGATCTATACTTTAAGAAAATCACTCAGGCAGCTATGTAGACTTATCCATTGGAAACGAGTGAGACTTGAGACTGGGAGGCCAATTAGGAAGCCACTGCAGGAGTCCTGTTGAGAAGTGATGGGAGCCTGAATTAGGATGGTGGCTGTGTGATTAGAAAAAACATGGGACTAAAATTCAAATCTAATAATTTCTAGTCCAAAGTCATCTAGAACATAACACATTGCCTCTACTAAATCAACTTACGCAAATTATTAATTTAACCCAAAAAGTATCAGCTTGTGCAGAAGGGCAGTGTGGTATAGATGATAAAGTGCTGAACTAGGGAAGACCTGTGTTCAAGTGCCACCCCAGATATTTACCAGTTGTGTGACCAGTTTCCTAACTACTAAAATAGAGATGACACTAACACCGGCTTCATAGGATTATCATAAAATTCAAATAAGATAATGTAAATAAAGCAATCAGAAAACCTTAAAGTGCTAATAGCATATAAATACCAGTAGTACTAATAGGAGGAAGAGTAATCATCACCACTATCATTACTACCACCAAAAGATTTCCCCCATTATAAAGAATACATTGATAAACTCTTAACTAGAACATTTCTTAGAGTTTTAATACAGCCCAGTGACCTTATCCAAACCATGGGTAGGTACCTGGGGTAAATGTTAGTTGTACCTTTTCCTTTTATCCCTGCTGCCTCCTTATTTCTTTGTATTTCCTTTCTGTTCCAATCTTCCTTTTTCTGCCACAGGGCTTAAGATTTACTGTTAGCTAATAGCATCCTGTGTTAAAGTAGTTGCTAACTAAAATTTAGTGTGTAGACAGAGGTTGAAGTTTCAATCTGTTTTACAATAAACCCTAATGTAGTAAGCTATATACTGAAAATTGTCAGGTATAGTGGCAATATTTCAATTTAACAATTCTCTCTCCTTTTCAAAAAAAAGTTCATTAAAATGAAGAAAATGAATTAAATCATTTCTAAGATCTCTTCAAACTCTTGATTTATTTTTGAACGTAGGAGCCAGGGATTATAATAACATGACATTTATGAAGGGCTTTAAATAAAATATCTCATTTGAATCTCATTACGATCTTATACTGACTGCAAAAACCTGGAATTATTCTCATTTTGCAAGATGAGGAAATTGAGACTTAAAAGGGTCAAGTGACTTGGCAACCATGTAAACAACTAGTAAGTATTCAAACCCAATTCTCTCTGGATTCCAAGTCCAGAAGCTCTTTCTACTAAACTCCTTCTGTTAATGTGCGTTCAGATGAAATTTACAGAGTAAGAAGGTAAATTAAACTTGTAATTATTTCACCATACTTCATAAGGCATCTACAATTATCTCAGGGAGCCTTAAGATTTTAAAATTATATGAACTAACATTTTAATATATTTATTAACTAATATTTTAATATATTTATTAACTAAGAGTTAATTAACTATAATTCAAAGCTAGAAAAAAAGAACTCAAGATGGATAGCCAGATACTGTGAAGGTGGGTAATCAAGAAAACAAAAATGCTTGGGTAGAATGTCACTACTCCAAAATGATACGGTATTCATCTAAAGAAACAAAACACAAAGCATCTGTTTTACAAATTTTCACAATAAACTTCAGTTCTCCCATAATCACTAGACTAATTAAAAATTGCCTATTCGACCGCTTCTAACACAAACTAAAAAGAAATTCTAAGTCACAGTTTATTCTTCTCTCATGAAATGGTTCAAACACAAGATTCTGACGGCAGAATCTGACAACACGAATCTGTCACAGAATCCACCGTGACAAATTTAAGGTTTTGCCCCAAGTCTTTTCGCCTAAGACTTTTTAACTGCTATCTGCCTCAGTTTCTTCAACTGCATAATGGCGATAATAATGGCACCTACTTCCTAGGGTTACAACCAGGATCGAATAAGATAATATATGTGAAGCTCTTGCCACATAGAAGACACTTAAAAAATATTTGTTCCTTTCCTCTTCCCCCATTAAAAAAAAATCTTGTTGCCAACGTTTTTAATTCTAGGAGGATCTGACCCGTTTTTTGTTTAAGGGGTAAACTGTCAGAAATGGAACAAGGTCAAACTTAGGAGACAAAAGGTTTCTGTGGCACGAATGTGGCCAGAAAGGCTCTTCCCTTCCTCAGCCATAGCTTCCAGTCTAAAAAGTGGACAAAACAAACAAAAAAATATCCACACAAAGGACCCACCTGACAGACCTGGTTATTTCTGACCTTAATGTCCAAATTAAATGCATAGAGAATAATTATTTCTTCTCTCTTTTTAAAAATTTCATTAGGATGAACTTCAAAAAAGGAACCTGAGAGGGGGCACAATAAAAACCACCTCACAGTAGGAACCTGCTCAACTCACGCCCCCCCCCGCCCCAAAATAAATAAATAAATAAATAAATGAGTGAAGCGCTTCATTGCGGCTCCTCCCGACGGACGCCCCCAATCAACTGGCCGGACTGGGGGGAAGGGCAGCGAGGGTCAGGAAGGAAGTTCTGGGGCCAAAGTGACAAAACGAAAGAAAGAGAAGGAAGCAGCTGGCCCCCGCCCCCGAACCTGGGGGCGCGGGGCCCCCGCACGCCTCGGGCCCCGGGCCCCGGAGCGCCAAGCCGGGGAAGTCAACAAGTCCCGGCGCGGAGCGCGAGGGGCGCTCTGGGAGCCGGCGGAGGGAGGGGCTCGCCTCATCCTGCGGCGCTCGGCCTGGGCTCGGCACTTTCTAAATTCTGGGTAGCGGAGTGAGCCGGCCGAGAGGTGAGGGGGCGCGGAGGGGGACGGGACGAAGAGGGGCCGGGGCCGCGGCTCGGGGGAGGGGAAGCCGGCACAAGTCAACAAACGCGAGCGTGGCGCGCGGGGGCGCGCCCGGGCCGCCGGCAGACTCACCTTTTGGGAGGTGCTCTGCTGCAGCACATTCTGCTCCACGGTCATGGCCCCCGCGGCGGCGGCGGCGGCGGCGGCGGCGGCGGCGGCTCCCCCTCCTCCTCCTCCTCGTCCTCCTTCCTGCCGCGGCCGCCCGGCTCTCGCTCGCAGGCTCTCGGGGTCTCCTTACTCCTGTCCTCTCCTCCCTTCCTTCCTCTTCCCCTTCCCCCCGAGGACAGCCCGGCCAGGCTCCGGGTGAGGATTGCGGGCCGGGGATGAGAGCGGCTCCAGGCGCCTGGGGTGGGGGGGGGAAGGAAGAGCCGGGGCGGGGGAAGGAGTGGGCCGAAGGGCGGTCCCGGCCTCAGCGCAGCACGCCCAGGGCGCCCCGACGAGCCGGGGCCATGGGAGAGAAAGGGAAGGTGGAAGGCGAAGAGAGGGCGAGCAGGAACTCCGAAGCCGAAGAGAGCGCGGCGGGCGGCGGCGGAGCGGAAGCCCGTCACTCACTGGGCTGAGCCGAGCTCCGGGAGACGGAGAGGGAGGGAGCGAGCGAACCGCGGGGCTGACGGGCGAAGAGGAGGGAGTGGCCGGGTCCGGAATGGCGCTGTCCTCCTCCTGCCCCTCCCCCCCCCCACCTGCCGTCCCCGCCGCCCCCCTGGCCGCCCCGCCGGGCCCCCCCCTTCTCTTCCTTCTCGCCACTCCCGGGCTGGACAGCCTTCCTCCCGGGCCTGCTTCCCGCTTCCCCGCCCTCCTCCCTCGGAGCTCACATTGTGACTGTGGAGGCTGCCGCAGCCCGTCGGGACACACCCAGCGTCCCGGGCCGGACCACGGGTGACCCGGCTCCTTCCCCCTCCCCCCGCCTGCAGCAACCCGCCGCCCCCGGGGGGCCTCGGACACGGACACGCGGGATCGCGGCTCGTGGTTGCGCCCGTCCTCTTCCCTCTGTCCGTCTCGGACAGCAGACCCCCGCCCCCTCGCCTTCTTCGCGGTCATCCAGAGCCGCCTCATGCCGCCCTTCCTTCTCTCTAGGAATTTCACCAGAAGCCACGACTCTAGGCAGGTTCAAGAGTGCATGGAGCCCGGGACTGGAAGCCACATAGGTGGGAACTCCTTTCTAAAGTGTCACTTGTCTTTGCTTAACTGGGTACCCCCCCAGCTCCTCTGTGACAATGACATCTGCCGGGAATGTCGCTCTTCGTTTTAAGTTAGAGACCTTCTCTGCAGCATGGGGGGAGGGGGCATTTTTTTTTAAAAAGAAAAAGTACTGACATAATTGATTTATAACTCAGCTATACCTTAAAATGTTGCCAAATTAGGTTAACGATTTAAAAATAGTTACAGATGTACATATGACTTCATTCTTGGCTACACAATTCGTTACCCCTAAATAGAGGGGGGAGGGGGCGCCAACAAAAACAGCTTTAGCTTCACAAGTCTGGTGGGGAAAATGGAGGGGAACTGACATTAGCACAAACTATGCATACGTCAATGTAATTCCAGTTATAATTTTAAATCTTAACTACAAGTTAATTTGCCACATTTTTTGTTTTATTTAATGACCAAGTCAGTCAACAAACATTTATTATCTATGAGCGCTATTTAAAGAGTACAGTTTTTATTGGAAGGCTTGTGGATGTTAACTAATTCAAAGTTGTACCATAATCGTATTTATGGTATTGAAGTTGATAATTTTTTTCAAGACTATACACTAATAATAAAATTTTTAAATGATAAAAAATTAAAGGGAAATAAGTACATTATTTTTAATATTATCTCTGTAATCCTATGTCAAGACGGGGAAAGTTGTTTATCCTAAAGATCATTAATTAGGTCAGAACTCATATTCATGCCAAGCAGTCTGTTGTGATATTCTTTTTGAGTCTACATTTTCATGTGTAAGTAGAAATGCACTTGACTGATAAAATATTTTACAGAGAAGGAAACTGAAGCCCAAAGAAATTAAATGATTTGTCCAAGGTCATACAGGAGACATCCAGGTCTCTTGACTCCCAATCCATTATTCAACCAAGGATGGACAAGTCACAGCATTCTGTTGTCCAGAACGTTCAAACTTTAGGGAAAACTAAATGGCCCCGAGCAGAAAATAGATTCTGAGTAATATAATGCTACTACAGGAGCCAATGTCTTTTTTTAAACTAGAAATTAGTGATAAGAATTTGGTAATTCCTCCAATTTCATCTAATTATTTCTTGAGCACTAGGTTTCATATTTTGTGTCACAAGTTGCTAGTGAAATTGTCCATCAAATAAAGTTCTTCTAGGGTTACCATATTTTTTCACCTGAATTATAGTAAATTTCTTACCTTTCGTATTTATTATGTTTTTAAAGCTTTAAAAGCCTGGAAAAATACAGATCTCAGATACTTTCAACTACGTTACCATATCACAATTTTAAAAGCTTATAATTTTCATAGTGACCACAGAAGGAATGTACAATTTTCTTTGTAAATGATTCATAAATAAAATAGACCACCTAACCTTTTATCCATGTTTTTATTTTGTTACTTCAAACATTTCAATCATTCTGAATTACTGGATCAAACTAGGTTGCTGCTTCCAAAATACCTAGTGGTGACACAGTCTGTTAACCAGGAATGTATTTGAAGTCTTTTCAATGAGGTAGATCATGCCAGCATTTAAGTTCTTCATCCTTATAGAACTCAGGTTAACTTCTATACCATGATGAGAGCAGAGCTTGAACAAAATTTTTTGAAGTGATAGATTTGACATAAAAGCCAATGTTTATTTTAATTATTTACCAAAATTAACTGTAAAAGGGAGGAAAAAAAAGATGATGAAAAACTGTCCAGTAAAGTGTTAGAGTGTCTCAAGGATTGCTATTCCACTCTAGATCCCAGAGGTTATTTCTTAGGTTCTGTTGTCCATAGGAGCCCAGAAAATGCTTGAGTGTCTTTGAGATGAAATGTCCCTCAATTATCACTACATGAAACTAATTACATGGTTGCTAAGAAATTATTGACTCTGTTTCCCTTCAAATCAGTACTATTTTCCTATCTGTGATGTAGTTTACTCAATTTATACTTTATGATGATAATTTTATTTCAACCAACAGGATAGCAGTATGTAATTAAGTCAAAGGAAAGAATGTTTTCTCTTGTCATAATGCTACTATTCAGGGAATTGAGCATTCTAGAATAAATTCACTGAGAGCATGGAATGGTCTTTGAAAGGTTGAACACGCAATTGAGATGGAGAAAGGGTAAAAAAAAATAACAAAATTTAGAGTGGAAGAAGAAATAATGATAGCTGATATTTATATAGCAATTGAAAGTTTGTCTCAAAGTCAGCAATAATAGAAAAACATTAAGGAGCAGATAATTAGTGAATTTGTCTGCTGAAGGAAAGGTTTCAAACTATTATGTATTCCAAATTTTTGTTAGTATTTGAATGAAGCTTTCAGTGGTACCGTTGCACTTTTTATTTTTTACTGACATTATCAGTTTGAATGTCTGTATAAAAGATCCCTGTGAGGTGGAAATTCAATTCAGTCTGTTATACAGCAATCCCAAAAGGCTTTCTATAATCTTATAATAGGTTATTGCTTTACAGAGAGTTCTTTGGAAATAAGTTATACACTGAGAAATAGATTGACGCTACCAATTGCATGTTATGTGCTCTCCTCACAGACTTTCTCCAACTTAGATTTGCTCTCTCTTAATCAAATATTTCTCAGAGATCTCAGATTCTGTCTTCCCTGACCTTCACTCTGGATTGTACACAAGGTAGACCCCAACTGTCAATATGAGGAGAAAGGAAAACAAGTTCCAACCCCCACCAGTGTATATTGGCAAATAGTCACATAGATCAGAACATGATTAAAAGTAGTGGTGTCAAACTCAAGTAGAAATGGAAGCCACTAAACCATACATAAGGATTCCTGTAGCTGCATATTGACTTAGAAAAACACATTGTGTTTTTAATTATTTTGTTAAATCCCAGTTATAGTTTAATGTAATTAAAATAGTTCACACAGTACTTAATGCCACAGACAACATATTTGACAGTCCTGGAACAGGATTTTATACTGTTTAATCCTCTATTCTCACCTCTAGAGAGCACTGGTTCAGCACATGTCAGTTCCAGACACTCCATTTCAAGTTTCCCAGAAGCTCCCCAGTGAAGTGGCAATCCAGAATTAGATTTGAAATCTGACCACCTGGATCATATACATACTTCCAGGGCTACTTTGCTGCAAAGCTTTCACCCTTTAGTACTAGCCACTGTGGAGATTACTTAGACTAGAGGAGTTCAGAGCAATAGTAATAAGGTCATTTTGCCAATCTAAATATTGGATCAAGTAATTCTGAGCTTTATGGACCAGCATGGATAGCCAGTTTACTCGGATTTGGTAGTTAGAACCTCTGGAACTTGTTTCTATTTGTTACCACTTTGCTTTTTTTCCTCAGGAAATTATAACTTTTAGGGACGTGGACCAAGAGACTTCTTATACCCTATGAGATTCTATTAACTCTTTGGAAACTAGGATAGAGGAGGAAGGTTTTATCTCACTTATTTTTACCCCAACCTCTTTGAGATCAGCAATAGTGATTGTGTTAACATAGAGCAGTCCTTTGATAAGAGCATCACGGACAATTTTCTTGGCTCCGCCTTGCCTCTTACAATGCAGTGGATGTGTGATCTCATTGCTAAGAGTTCTCCCTCCAAATGTACAGATTGCCATCAGTCCAGACCTCTGTTGTACTTTGCTCTGTATATCTTTACCAGTCATAGGTATCCCTACTGATGTCTCTTACACCACTTCTCACACATAAGTCACTGTTGGTAATGCAATGCAGCATACTTGTGTCCACCTACTTGTGTGTTTTAATTGTCTTCTGAGTCACCTACAATGTTCATTCTGAGATCACGAAGTTCTATGATTCTTAGACACAGCTTCACAAGAATAATGGTGTTTAAAAAAATGTGCCTTTGTGGCAATGGTACACTTATTGGAATTTTTGGACATTTTCGCAAATCCTATTTAATCCATCAGCCATAGCTTGTCCAGTAGGGAGAACTGCTCAGTTAATTGTGGTAATCCATGGGCAGCTAGGT